TGCGGCTGGCCTGCAGGCGCTTCTCTTAAAGCCGCCCTTGTTATCGTCCAAGGTTGCTCGCCTTAGCGTCTAGATTGTCTTGTGCTTCTTCCCACAGAAATTGCTCCAGGCCGTGATTTACAGTAAGAAACAAACGGGAATAAACTGAATACGAACTTCTGCTTAGAAGTCTTGCTCTAAAGCATCCCGTTGGCCTGAGGCCAAGGGAGAACGCGATGGGTACCAATACAAAACCTGGTGTTACCTTGTCCCTGTGTGCACGGTGCTACTTTTGCACTTAAAAGCTTGCAAGTACAGCGTGGTTCTCGTGCATCACAGCAACCTCAGACAGGACACGGGTGTTTATCACCTCTATTATCAGGGTGCACCAGAGCCCACTCACAGACGAGGATGCCATTTTGCAGGATGCTGTGCAAACAGAACAAAGAGCACATGTCCTAAGAACATAACAAAGACAGCAGTTAGACACAGGTAGAGAGCAGAATGCAAGCAGACAATGAAATTATACCGGTCAGCATCTCAGTGGCCAAAGCTATTACTGATGTATTGCCAAGAAATCATGAGATTTCGAGAACAAAATATGCCCAAGGGGAGTTTTACTGAAGTGTGTGAAAACATAGACGGGTTTAAAAATTAAGCAAGTGGACAACAGAGAAACTTTCTGAAGGCAAAGTTGTCAAGACAAATTTCAGCTAGAAATACTGGGATAGAGAGGGAAAATGTAGGTAAAGTACTTGACACATTAGGGAAGCAATTAAAGACCCCTCAATTGGGATGTAGCATTTATACAAAAGAACTAACACTTTTACAAGAGTCACGGTTTTTTTCTGTCTCTCTAGGAATGCTGTGTGTCAGCAATTGGAAACCTGTGTGGGATTTACTTGTGTCTGGCCTTTTATCCTGAATTCCTTCTGCATTCACATTCAGCTTCCACTATTGCCGTTTTCATCACCTTATCGTTCTCTTTCTGTATTTTCCTCAACTTTCCCTGTCTTTCTTTATTGCAATTTCTTTCTTCCTTATCTCTTTATGCTTCCCATGCAGTCTTCTGTAAATTATAAATAAAATGTATGGATTTCACATCTGAGGGTGAGGCACGCCACATCTACATGTTAGACATCTACGTGGACTAGGAGACCAGACCCAGCTCTCAGCAGGAGAAACAAGCTCATGCTGAAGGTGATTGATCTGATGCTACAACAGGAAGACAATTCTCTCACTTATGGAGACTATTTCTTTCCATTGACTATAAAGAGTGCTTTGCACCAGTAGTCCAGAAGTGGCTGTTTAAAATTACAGAATTATATGAGGTGTCCCCCCTGTGCTTGAACCTGACATTGTGTAGAAATGTCTTGATGGGAAGCAGTGGAGAAACCTGTCTCCTTGTGCCCTTTTCTGGATTTTGCAGTCATATGAAGATGAGAAAGAGTGTGCACACTCTTTCTACTGTATAAACAAACATTATTTCTCCACTTTTGGAAAGTAATTGTTTTGAAACTACTGCTTTCTCTTGACCTTTCCTCTGTTACAGCCTACTTTCTCCTTACTGATTGTGGGAAACAGAACTTCCACTGATGGTTACAAAGCACTGAGATATGTTGTAATCCCTCAGGAACCATTCTTGGAGAGGACCATTTCTAATCAGGAAGAGGAAATGCAACTGCCAGACATAAGCGTTATCCCTAACAGAAGAGTAATCTTTCTGGCTGTTACGTTCCAGACCTTCTGCTTCGAGGTCATCACCCAAATGACCATGCCTGAAAATTATCATGTTTTCCCAGCAGCATTGGGCCTCTTTCCCCTGAGCTCTAACTAACCCTCATTTTGGGAGCTGAAATGGGATTTGGGTGGTACATTCAAAAGTTCAGGTGTATGGGTCCTGGTGCAACTCGGAGAGGCCAGGGGTCTGTGCAAGTGCAAATCTTACTCTTCAGTAATCCTGAAAAGGAAAGAAAGACTATTTTCCTTGCATCCTTGTTCTGTCCTCAAATAAGAACACCAGAGGAGACCACAGAAAGCATCAAGCCATCCCATGTCATTTCTGCAACTGAAACAGAGGGGCAGCATCAGGCATTATTTAGCAGCAATGCTGGAAAGCACATGTAAGAGGTGTGTGTAATAGTCAGATACTGAATAGATCCAGGGGCACTTTGATAAATTGAAAAAGGCAAGAATTCCATACTCAGATATTTTGTGGTATTCATGTGAACCCAGAAAACTCATCTGTCTTTGCTAAATATTTGTATGGCACATGATCTAGAAGGTTGGAAAGACAAATTGATGGCATCAGTATTAGCAGTCTTTTAAAAAATGTTTCTGGGAAAGAAAAGGGATTAATGAACCATCATTTTGAATACTCTTAAATTTTGACTTTGTCTAGTACAGTTGTTCCAGAGCAATTATTTGCCCCCTGTTTTAATTCAGCTGAGCTAAAGTAAACTCATATTTGAGACAGAAGAGATGGGCAATATAATTGTATCTTTTTACATCAGGCATCACTCTCTAGCTAGTGTTTGGTCTCTTATTATCTTAAAATTGGCATTTTTTGTAGCATTGTAGAAAGGAAATGTTCATAGTATGATTATGATATTGAAGATTATATATGCTGATAGCTTTGTGGAAGTTACACATTTCAATGTATGGTATAAATGTTCTGGCATTCATGACTTCTCAGGTAAAAGTTTATTCATTACAAAGAGGATGTGAAAGAGCATGGTAGCAATTTTTAAGCATCTGTTGTGTGAAAATTCTTACTGCAGAGAAAATTACAGTTATTCCCAAAAAAAGGCGTTCACATGCAAGGTTATTAAGAACAAGCTGGTGCTGTGTAAATCCATACAAAGACTTGCCATTTAGTCAATACTTGAACCATCACTGTGCACACCAAACCTATGCCAGTTGCTGCATTATCAGCATCTTGAGCAATTAAGTAATCACTTTGTCACTGCTTGAGCTTAAAAAACTCTTCATAAAGATGATTATCATTATGTTGTAGATAAACCACATTTTTATCCATGTTATGAAAAGGAATATTACATAAGTATAAAATTGTACTAGAATAAATGCATGTTGTTCCAGCATGGTGCATCTGGTTTTTTTGGGTTGCACTGGTATAATAAAATTAATACAATTAAATCAATTAATGGCAATTTGACTGGCAAGGGGTTTTTTGACATATTAGGTATAATAAGACCTGAATCATGGCTGGGTTTCTATGTAATACTGGGGTGGGGAAAAATTCAAAATCAGAGATAGTGAAAAGTGAAAGCTGCTTGCAGACTCTATAATAAAGATAACGAGATTGGTGACAGCGAGCACTGCCCCTCCAGCCTATGTTTGCTCAACCTCAGGAGCAGCCCACTGAGTACTCATGCTCCTCTAACTATTGTGTGGAGGCAGGAGAGTGAAATTCTGCTTCAGATAAGGCCAGAACAGAGAGGGACGACACCTAGAATACTTCATAACATCAGAGAGCCTAAAAGCTGTTTTAAAAGAGTTTTCGCTTCCTTGCATGTACAAGTCTGAGGTAAACATATTGTATATTTTTTAGAGAACTGTAGCACTTATGAGAGTTGATTCATCAGCATATCCTTCAGGTTTCACACAGAGTGGCCCTGACATCAGCAGGGATATGCTGTCATGAACCTTGAGTGACATGGTGGTAATTAAGTCCAGGAGTCTTTCTAGGGTCATAATTTGACTGTATGCTCATGCAAATTTGGCTCCAAATTCATAAAACAGAGGATTTTACACATAATTCTTGCAGGTTACAGCACAGCAGCAGTAGCTGCGTGTGTAAGATCAATAAATACCTGATCACAATGGTTTCTTTTTTATATTTGTCTTCTGTGAACTGGAATGAAATTATCAAACCACTTACTTTCAGGTACTTGGTAATTATCAAGTAATTATTTCAGTAACTGCCTACTTGTTATTCACCATCCTAGTTTGGGCCCAACCTTTATCCTTTCAGATTTTGTAGTTAGTTTTAAAGTTGTTCATCTTTATAGTTTCTTTAAATCCTCTGCTTTATCACAGAAAACTCTTATAGTAGAAGTTTCCCTACTTTTTTCCATTTAGCCCCTCCCTCCCTGAGGTAATCCAAGATGTGAAAGATCATTGGTAGGAATGAAAGAACATTCTCAACATTCACTAAATATTTCTGGTCCTTTTGCTGGGATTTGGTGGCACACATGGCAGTATTTCAGACGGAAGAAACTTTATTTTGGATAGGTCAGATTGTTAATAAATAATGCTGTTCTTAATTTTATCACTCCTCATACAGAAGGGGTTTGCTAAAAGCTGCCCGTGAAATCTAAATTGAAGATATGCCAGGTGATTGCTTCAGACACTGGAAAGGTGTTCACACCCTTTGGCTGGACTTGAGGAACCAGTGGAAGTTTTCAACCCAGCAAATGGTAAAAGAATGGGTCCTCCAGGGCAAATCATTCACTGTGGCAAAGCCAGATTTTGCTCTGAACCATCTATAAAGGAAGCAGAGGGAGGCAAGGCTCATTAGCATGTGTGAATTTGGATCTCCAGGGTTAAAGAAACTCGAGTGAAACTGCCCTTATCAACTATTTAAATTTGGAGCCAAATCTTTCCCTATCTGCTCCCATCAAGGTGAACTGAGATAGTGTCGGGTACACCCTTGCCAAGGGGGGACTTATTTGGGCAAAGCCAGTTTCCTGAGGAGGTATGTATTGCTGAGGCTCCTTTAAACAGAAAAAATCTCTGCTGCCACTTCTTGCTGACATCAGCATAAGATCTAGCTGGTTACAGGGGTGAACACACAGATAGCTCAATTAGCAAGCCAAGCTCCCTTGGGGCTATAGGAGAGAAAAAAATTCCACTCTCAATGCTATCTGTTCATGTCTGCTCCTTGATTTCATCATGTGCCTTGATCCCTCTTAATCTGTTCCCTCATTCCTTTTCTGCTATTTGTCATCTCCCTGGTTGTGTTTTTTCTCCTCCTCTTTATGTATTCCTTCATTCTCCTTCCTGTTTTCTTTTCCTCTTTGTCTTTATGTCTGAGATTTGTCTTTCTACCTGGTCTTCTGTATTACTAATTCTGCCTGCTCCATCCTTCAGGTTCCTTTTCTGTCGTGCCTCACTCTTCTCTTGCTTTATTTTCAGTTTCACTGATGCTCTCCCTGTTAGAAGTCGTTTTAAAGTGTTAAAATTTGACAGGAGGTTGACTTTCCTATTTTTGTGTCACACAGGTGGCAGGCTTCCCACAGAATTAGTGCCAAAGGAAGAACAGCAGCCCAAAGGAGATTTCACAGTTTACAGCAATATTTAAAGCATTCTGAATCTGATTAGGGAATATGGCTGAAAGTCACATAGCTTCTTGGTCCTACATAGCATTTTTTAAAGGCTGTCAGAGAAAAAAATTAAATACTGGAACTAAAGCCTCTAAGCCAGTTCCATGCTTAGTTCAGTACTCCAACATTGTTTCAAGATAATAGACAAACACTGCAATAGCTGGATTCACAAATGCCATAAACTTCCTTTGGATCAAATGTGCTGTTCAATCTTTCTCACTGTAAATCTCTTTTATGAATTCTTACAGATTTACTCTGAGATCAGAATTTGACTTACAGGCATTATCTTTGACTAATAATGGGAAACGGGTGAATGTGTCTGCATTGTGGGATCAGTAGGAAGAAAAAAATATTCCAGATGTACTGATTTTTTCAGATGCAATAGAAGTAATGAATGAATAAACCAACCTTCTGTCAGAAAAAATACACAGAAAGATGATTAGTCCTTGAGAAGAATACCTTTTCTGTATGTAGTAAAAAGCATATTTCACTGCTTATAATTATATATACACACATACAAACAAAGAGACATAGGTACTTAATCATTCAAAAGAATTGCAAATTGTTCTTGAAAGGTATCCATATCAGCTCACTACATTTTCATTATGAAATATTCTGAGGTAAGAGATCTCCATGAGAAACCTCATGAGTCCCTTTTTTCCCAATTTCCATATTATTCTAGGTAAGGAGATAATGATGAATGTCATCAGGAACAGCATGCAGGAGTGCTGATAAGAGATCTCACTTTTCTTTTTTGGCTTGGAATTATTTGCTTGGTCTCAGTTTGCCAAAGTTTATCCCCTTTGTGACATAATCTATATCAGTATCTTCTGCCTTCAGCTCCAGTGTTACATTTCCATTTTTTGTTGGTTTTTCCCTACAACTTTTAATTAAATTGTTATATGAAATACAGAATTAAAAAAAATTTAAAAAAAGGAAAAAAAAAAAGAACTGGGATCAGATCCAGCCAATAGAAGATGTCTGTGTGGCCTTCAAAATCAAGGCCAGGTGGGGAAGCCTCTTCCCTCAGGAGAAGACAATTTTCTTGCCACTGTGCTAAGGTTATTGCAATGCAAATATCCCTAATTAACCATGCACTGCATCTTACCACTCTTTTGACCCTCTTCCTATCCCTTTGCCTCTCTTCCCATCCTTTTGCTTGGACTTGTACTGTTTCCATGTGCAGGGCTGAACTGTGTAGACTCAATATTGCATAAAAGTGTTTTACAGAGCTTCCTTTTCAAAATAACTTTGAAATATTAATTTCAAAATGAGTATATTAGTGAGAGAAAGAAAGAAAAATTAATTTTTTAAATTAATGTGGAGTGTGCCCTCAGGCTTTTCCTGTAGGTTTAGAGCACTGTTTACAGTGAGCCTACTGCACTGACAGGTGATCCAGGGCTGGAAGAAGAAGAAATCTCCCAGAGGAACCTGTCAGTTGACACGGATCAGTGTTGATTCCTCCTGTTAGGTAACTGCTCAAATAGAAGATTCTCCAATTGTTCAGAATTCAAGAAAAACTTATCAAAATAAAAGACTATTGAACCTTGCAGTGCTGCTATTTTTAAGATGACTCAAACATTTAAAAATGCCATGGAAAAAAATACTGCAGTTGTCAAGATGATCATCACAGGTCACCATCACTGGAAGTTGAACACTGAGATGAGATGACTTTTTCACAAACCCCTACTCCACGGGGTTTGATGAGGGCTGTCAGGCCAGCAAATAACTGTGAGGTTGCATGGCTAATGATGCAAAGGCACATCATTTATGCAAAAGCTCTGCACCCAAACTACACTGCTGCCCTCTGGCTATGATAAAAAAAAAAAAAAAAAAAAACCAACAACAAAGTCACATAATTATACAAAATGGAGTTTCAAAAATGACAAATTTTGTTACAAGTTGAATATGAGTCAACAGTGGACCCTGGCAGCCAGGAGGGCCAACAACCTTCCGAGATGCAGCACCACCAGTCAGGAAAAAGGAGGGAATTATCTCACTCTGTTCTGCACTAGGGAGGCCTCACCTTGAGTTCTGGGGGCAGTTTTGGATGTCACAATGTGAGAAAAAGCTATCTGAGAGTGTCCAAAGGAGGGCAACAAAGATGGCGAAGGGCCTTGAGGGTAAGGCTTTTGTGGAGTGGCTGAGGGCACTTGGTCTGTTCAGCCTGGAGAGGAGACTGAGGGGAGACCTCACTGCAGTTACAGCTTCCTCGTGAGAGGAAGAGGAGGGGCAGGCACTGATCTCTTCGCTCTCATGACCAATGACAGAACCCAAGGGAATGGCTGGAAGCTAAGTCAGGGGAGGTTTAGGTTGGATACCACGAAAGGTTTCTCACCCAGAGGGTGTTTGGGCACTGGAACAGGCTCCCCAGGGAAGTGGCCACAGCACCAGCCTGACAGAGTGTAAGAAGTGTTTGGGCAACATTCTCAGACATCTAGTGTGATTCTTGGGGTTTCCTGTGCTGGGCCAGGAGTTGGACTCAATCATCCTGATGGTTCCCTTACAAACCCTCATATTCGATGATTAATTCTGCATCAAAGTTATCATCTTCTGTAGCTGTTGCACACACTTGACTAACCCTCAGAATGCTCTTATAGCCCTACAAAGAAATCTTCAAAGAAACCCTGAGTTCAAGGCAGTGTTAGCACAAGTTTAAGTCAGCTTTGAGTGACAGTTTCTAATTTATATTTTCAAACATACCAACCAGATCTCTGTCTCAGTTTGTTCATTACCACTGGCAAAATAAATAAG